TTCATTTCCTTCCTGTCTTCCCCCTGCCTTTAAACTCCTCTTCACTGACCCTGCTTGTTAAGAGGCCCCATAAGTATTGAATCCCCTAAGCAACTGCATGATTAGGCTTATTTTGGGTGTGATTGTACCTTTCAGATACCCTGTGCTGATTTCCAGGCCATCAGTATTACAGTGAGTCTGTCTCCGCAGCATCGCCCCCACTTTGGGAGCTAGTCCTGAATTTTCCAGCTTAGAATAACTTTTTTTCCAAGGCAGCAGCCAAAGTATTGTGTTCTCTACCTTGGGAGAAAAAAAAGCACTGAATAGGTAAAGTTAGGGACTGGGGTTATTTTGCAGAAAAAGACAAAATCACAGTGCTAAGTACTAGTGTAGTGTTTTATGATTTATCTTATTTTCCAACATGCCCTGAGAGAAGAGCCCAAAGGCAGTGGTCTAGGCTTCCGAAAGAGGTGAGCCTTGCTCCAAAGCTAGTAAATATTCTTTCCTTTCTAACATGCTGCCCTATACCATCTTCTACTTGGTGAGTGTATCCTAGTTGTAGGTAATCTACTTGGGGGAAAGGGGAATGTTCCCTGGGTATTCAGAATAGAAGATCTATAAATACCAAATAGTGCCACCTGTGTCTCAGCTGTTGGTATGTAACAGAGCTGCATCAGGAACAAACTGTTTTAACAGGAGGATCCCCCACCACCCAACACTCTCTACCAGCTCCCATCTTCCAGGCCACAAAAACCCCAAGCAAAACTGCTGCTTCTGTCGAAAAACATACAGTATATATACTGGCATGGAAATCTGTCCATGATACAGTATTTGTGAAATGAGAATAAAACTAAGTTACATGACAACATTGTACACTGTGAGCCCAATATATATATTTATGTGTGTGTATGTATATATATATATATATATATATATATATATATATGTATTTACAAATGAATAGAAAGATTCATCTACTGGTTAATAAAAGTTATTTCTGGTACAATGTGGGAGACTGGTGGAAAGACATTAATTACAAGGAGGTCTTTAATTTTTATTTACATATGTTTCTATATTGCTTTATTTTTATTTTACCACCAGCTTGTATTATTTTTTTATAATTAAGAAAACTATTTACATATTAGAAAAAAACAACAATAACTGCTTCTGCCACCAGGGAGGGCGTCGGTACTGCGGTGATGGTTTAAAAATCATGAATCTTGTAAACTAGCAGTGAGATTTGCTCATTTCCATTGCAATTGCCTTATCTGAAATGTTCCCTACCCCCCTATTAATTACTTCCTTCCACAGTTTAGCACAGGAAGGTGGGGAAGGGAAGAGCAGAACAAAAGGGATCAGCTTCTCACCTTTACTGCCAAAATCAACTGCCTGGAACTTTCCAGAGGCTCTGATGCTGAGCACTGGATGCAGTTACTTGAGGAATGGATGAGCTCTTGCTGTCTTTAGGTCTCCTGAAGCATTGTCCTTCCTCGATCTGGCCTCAGTCTAAGCTGATAAGAATTACATACACCTCAGTAAATGCTGTGGCTTCCTGAACCTTTGATCCCTAAGGTCCTTGCCATCAATCCTCCCTTCTTCCCACTAGCCATCTCGCATTCTGTGAGAGATTAATCCTTCTAAACTCCTGATTTAACTCTGTCACTTCCCTGCTCAATGCCTATGCCATTTGTTTTTTTAAGTTTCAACTGCCATTTGTATTATGTGCACTTATACTGACTGGCATGGACTGACCTACATAATATGGTATTTATTAGAGAAAAGGAGCTTAGTAAGTTATAAGTAGGATATTATTTCATTTCTGTTCTTATAGTAATTTTCACAGTAAAATACCTGAGAAAATATATTTTCAAATGGAGACAGCTTATCCATGAGTAATAGACTTTCAAGGGCTCTTAATTATTTCTTTCCTTCCCAAACACTTTTACGTGATCACTTCAGACCTTTACACCCTGTCAGCTGACTATATGCCTTTTCAGTCTTCACTCTGCTACTCCCCAGAGCTCTTCGCATTCCAGTCCAGTCAGGATAGACAGTGGTCCTGGAACTTACTCTGCGCTTTCCCCACTGTCAGAACACTGAGCCTGACAAAATCCTGTCTGGCTTGTCAGGCCTAGCTAGAACCTTCCTCCGAGATCCCTCCCCTTACTCTCCAAGAAATGTATGTGTGACTTTGCTTGAGTTCCTTTCTCATGTTTATGGTTTATGGTTATGGTATTTATGGTTAGGGTTACTCTATACACCATCCTTCAGTGATGCCCATACCCCTAAAGAGATGGGGTGTGGGGCAGAAAGGCTAAACTCAGCTGCCTTTCAGTCAGAGGGAAGGAATGTTTAAGGCAATGAGAAGGAAGGAATGAGGGAATGGCCCCAGGGTTAAGGTCCCTTAGATACTGTCTACTGTGAGGTGTACTGGTGAACCACCTTTCTGTGTCCAAGGACTGGTGCAGGAATAATAAAAATATGTTTGGGCTGCACTTTTCTATCCATCAAAAAATATAAAAAAATTTGCCTTGGCTGGTGTGGCTCAGTGGATTGAGCACCAGCCTGTGAACCACAGACAGGGCTGTCGGCAACCACACACTGATGTTTCTCTTTCTCTCTTTCTCCCTCCCTTTTCTTCTGTCTAAAAATAAAATGTGTGTGTGTGTGTGTGTGTGTGTGTGTGTGTGTGTGTACACTTGCCCTGTTTGGGTGGTTCAGCTGGTTGGAGCATTGTCCTGTACACCAAAAGGCCATGGATTCAATTCCCTTATCAATACACATACCTAGGATGCAGGTTTGATCCCTATTTGAGGCACAGAGGGAGGCAACCAATCAATATTTCTCTCACATCAATGTTTCTCTCTCTCTCTGAAATCAATAAACATATCCTCAGATGAGGATTAAAAAAAAAACAACCTTGACTGAACTCCAAGGGGAAAAATTCAACTTTATTAACTAGAAAGTTTAATGAAGAAAAATTTTTTAAAAAGGCAAGAAAATTGACCTACATTTTCATCACTAAAATGGTATATATTTCAAAAGTAGCATATAAAAAAGCCACTTTTAAAATTTTCACCTTAAATTATGTTGATACTTGGCAGTCACCTGAGCCCTGTGGGCCAGGGAAGCTCATCCACTGGGGTAAATCTTAAAGCCTGAGGCTGGAGATGAACCTGCCTGAGACAGACACTGTGCCCTCAGAAGCTCTAGAGGTGAGAACATTAGGATTCTCTTCTGGCCTTCAGTCCACCTGCAGTCTTATTGTAGCAGAGATACTTCTATATTAACACAGCAGATTTCCTGAGTCTCAGGACTCCCATTATTTGTCTTACCTTGTCATCCAGTATCCATTGAGGGTAAGTACTGTCTTACATTTTTCCCACCTTTTTCTGATGAAGGCCCAATACAATGTCTTTTACATAGTGGGCCATCAAGAAATTCCTGTTTATGGCGATGGTGATGAAGAAATAGCTTGAGAGAAAGTGACTTCCCCCACGTGTGTTGACTTTTATTTTCTTTAAAACAGCACACCTACTTAGTTGAAGTCATATGCAAGAATGTTCCAAGTTGCACACACCTAGAACCCAGTGCTCCTGCTTCCTTCAGTCACACTGCTGAACTCTCTCAACATTACCACCTGTTAATAGGTGTGGCCCAACACATAAGCATATGCCTTCTTGCGTGTGGTTTATCTGACAGTCTTTCATAGACATTGCTTATGCAAAACATATCCTAAAAATATTTCTCCCATAGGTCTAAAGTAGTGCCCAAAATTTTCACCATTACTTAATTTTTTGCAGTAAGAACCCTGTTACTGGGGAGGAAAAATACACTGTTATTTTCAACTAATGACACCTTAGCTCTAATTAGTTTATCTGCCAGGCCACCCATTGCTCTGAACTCCCACAGCATTTAGAATATACACTTTTATCGTTGCACTCATCACAGTGTATTGGAATGACATGTTTCCCTGCTTGCCCAAGCCACTGTGAGTTCCTTCAGGCTACAAGTGCCTAGTACAAGGTCAGTGTGGCATATAGTAGGCCCTCAAAAATATCGTTGTACCAAACTTAACCAACTTGTTTCTTAGGTAAGCTCTGGAGACTTCAGAGATAAGGAGTGCCTTAAAAAGGTGAGTCACGGATGTAGAGTCTTGCAACGAGGAAAGTTTCCATTGAATGCACTACTTGATTGGCTTCTGCAAGGGGTGAGAGGCCAACCAAAGACAACCTTGATCCTGTCCCAATTTGGTTAACCCTGACCAGTGGCTTCACTTAGAAAATGAGAAGACTCTGCCTACACTGAGATGAAGAGAATTACCCTCAGTAATTAAAAGTATGTCAGTGACTGATCAAATTTAACCTCATAATTGAGTGCACCCTATTCCAAAGAGGTTGAGCCTGCTTCCTGGGGACAGGATATGCATCACACATATTTCTTGTGTTCTTAAGAGTCTGACAGAGTCTGGCACATATAAGGAACCAAAAAAAATAATAGCTAACAATTATATAGTGCTTACTATATGCCAGATACATTCCTATAAGCATTTTATGAGTTTTAACTCATTTAAAACTCACAATAATGAGGCAGCTACTACTATTATCCCCATTTTACAGATGGGGAAACCAAGTCACACAGGAATTTATATGACTTACCCAATGTCATATAGCTTCAGAGTCCATGCTTTCAAATACTTTGCCTTAGTGCATTTAAATGAGAGTAGAGAACTCTCTCCCTGTACTGTACTTTTAAAATGTTTGAGCCTCCTGGCGCAACACTTAAGGTTGTCTGCCTACTAGACTGTCATTATTAGCGCAGGATCATTCTTTGACTTTTACTACCCTTAGTTCCTAGGGCAGTATTACCGCATAGTAGCTTGGCGAGTGTGCCTACCTGTGGCCACCAGAGGACACTGTAGCCACACGTCCCTTTTCCCCTCTCGTCTGCGCGCCTCAAGGGGGCGGAGCCAGCGCTGGGCGGAGCCTGTGAGACGCCCACATTGGGAGCAATCCCGGCGGGCCGCGCGCGCGGCCGCGTTTGAATGGCTCTGAGAGGGGCTCTGCCTGGGAGCGGACGGACTCTCTAGGCTTCCGGGCGCAGTTCGTCTGCGCCGGGGCTGGGTTGAGGTGCCAGAATACCATGAGGCGCCGGTAAGTGACGGCCAGGCTCGGGCGATCCCCGCGTCCGCAGCTGCCTTGCCGGTGCTGGACTTCTTCTCGGGCCTGGCAGCGTCCGGGGCCCACCTACAGGCCCCGCGGGGGCCTGGGCTCGAGCCGCGGCGGAGCTGTCGGGTCGGGGAGCGGGGCGGCGAGACCGCGGTTTCTGAGGTGAAACACCGTGCCCGGCCTCGGCTGGGGAGCTCCGGTCCGCGGTCGCTGGAGGCGTGGGAGGGCGCCAGGGGTCTGGGCAGGGAGAGGCGTGGACGGAACCTGCTGTCACGTACTTATCTTCGGGTGGAGCCGACATCAGCAGCCCGGGGAGGGGGAAGGACGGAACGCGCGAGGCGACCTGTTTGAGGACAAGTTTTCCCGCGAGCCGCCTAGGCCCGGCCTCGGAATTTCCTTATGTTCCGAGGGCTTCTTGGCTTCCTGACAGATAAGCTTTTGTTCAGCAGGACGAACACTTGACATTACTGCATAAGAATCGCTGATTACAACTTTAAAAACCTCATTGTATTTTCTGAAAAGTTCAGTAACCACCTAGTGCCCTCAAATTTGGCTTAAGTTATGGAGATAAAGAGTTGATTTGTGTGTGTGGGGGGGGGCTTGTAAAGTTCCTTGAAAACAGAGTTGTCTATGTCAGTTGTTTCGCAGATTAAAAAAAAAAAATTCTAACAAAAATTCTGTAAAAATCACCAGTTTAGCACCATCAAAAATTCAGAAAAACTAGTTCACATAATAGCTTAAACTTGTACATAGTTTATCCTGCTTTCTGTAAAACCAGCTCCAGACTTGAATCAGAACTTTATACGTTGAGGACTTTACCTGGCTAATAACTAACATTGCAATAATAACAATGGTTACTGTTTATTTTGTGCTTTCTTCCCGCAAACGCTGTTTTGAGAGCTTTGTTTTGGGACAGGTACTATTAATCCCATTTGACAAGTTGAAACTGAGGCACGTAGAAGTTAAGTACCGTTGTGTAAGTTTACCCAGCTAATAATGGTTAGGACCCGGGCAGGCTGGTGACTGTTTATGCTACTCTGTTGCCTCTTTTGTATGTGGCTTTTTTCAGTTCCCAAAGCACTTTCATTTCATTTACTTCTCTCGACTTGGAATGTAATATACATATGGGTAAAGGGGTGTTGGTTGGTGTACACATATATTCACACTATAAAATCGAGTGGTCTGCTCTTGTTGACCATACCTAAGTTTTATGCACTGAGCAAAAAATACGTTGGGTACCTTAAGATAAATGGAGTTTGTGAAGTTCATGTTTGTGTTTTAGTTAGTTTTTTTAATTCCTTTGTATCATTTCCTGAAAGTGTGGAGAACAATTCAAAATCTATGTGTTCCTGAAAAATATGTCATTATATACTAATGTTTTTATTCTGAAAACTTATTGAGTGGTCACTCTGTACTTGGAATGATTAACTGCTCCATGACAAGAAATATGGTTCAAAAGCAAAATCATTTAATAAGAAAACAGCAGTTTACACTATTAACAACAGAGCATTTAAATTCATTTCATTAGTTATCGAGGTTTTGGTTGCCTCTATGCCCATCACATGTTAGCCCACTGGCTATACAACAGAAATGTGCCTGAGCAACAAACCTGAATGAAGGAGGTTGGCCTAGTTTGGGGTATGAGATTAACACAGACACACATACACATGTATATCTGTGTTGGTATAGTGGGTATATGCTGAACCAAACTGAGCAACTGAGTAAAGCTTCTGCAAAGAACTGACACATGAAGGAAGGATATAGGCCATTGGATAGAAGAGTATGAGTGGGGAATTTTAGTGAGGAGACTGTTTAAAGACTTGGAATTGAGAATGAAAATGATTTTTCTAGGGAACAGTACATAAACCTTGTTTATTTAGAAGGTTCCTACTGAGAAAAATAAGATGTGGGCAAGACTATGAGGAGTGTTGTATAAGACATATGACAAAGAAATTTATACTTAAGATATCTAGATATATATCTATATATGTACATATATATATATACATATATATATGTTAGCAGGGAGATACATGATTTTGGAAGTTTTAAGGCTTTTAAAATGGATGGTTCTCTATGGGAGCAATTTTGCCCTCCACCCCAGGGAACATTGGGCAATGTCACAAGAGGGGAGAAGGGGAAGCTACTGGCATCCAGTGGATAGAGGCCAGGAATGCTACTAAACATCCTAAGATAGGGTAAGCCCCTCCATAAGAAATAATTACCCCAAGCATCAGTGGTCCTGGGACTGAGAAATGCTGTTTTAAATTGTTTGTATGGCCATCTCTTTCATGTGCTGTAGATATGCGTGATGAATTTTATGAGCATGAGTACAAACAGTGTTCAAGTTGGGGAGAAGGTGGCTCAGAGACCTAAAGAAGAAAGGAGGCCTTTGGGAGAGTCCTGGGGAAGGGAGAAACTGGAGGAGATAAGATGAGACCATGAGAATGGACAGGTAGTGGTAAAACGAGACAATTATTTAAATAACATTTTTTCTCAGTTTGAAAATAGTGCATGTTCACTGTAGGAAATTTAGGAAATGTAGAGAAGGTGTCAGGGGAAAAACAGCTATAACCACCCCCCCAAAGGGGAAGAACAACTTGTCACCATTTTCATGTAGAGTGGTTCCTTTCAAATCTGTTTTTATGCTGATAACTAGTTTTCCTTTTATAAAACTAGGATTATATGTTTTTCTCCCAATGGCAATTGGGCATTTTCTGTTTTGTTTGTTTTCGACTCAGCATATCATGAGTATTTCTCATTTTCCATTCTTTAAAAAATATTCTTTTTAATGGTCAGTCTTTGTTTTTTGTATGTATTCTTTTGAAATTGGGAATTTTGCTTTGTATTCACAGGAGACATTTTGAAAGAAGAAATATTAGAATATGATGACTGATTAACTGTAGAAAAAAATGAGGGTGAAAGACTACAGTATCTCCACGGTTTTAAATCTGGGACGCTAAAAGAATGGTGGAGCTACTGAAATAAGTTGGCGGGCGTTCTTATAATACTTTTTATCTTAGGTAGGTAAACTGCTATTCACAGAGACACATAATGAGATTTCAGTGAGGACCCTTGATGCCTATCACCTCATATCTTGCTAAAACTCCTATAATTTTCCTTTGTTTTTCTTTTCTTTTTGTTTTTTGTCTTAAGCTTATTTTTCAGTTTCTTCTTAGCAAGTCTTCCCCTTTCCTCTTCTTGGAATGGTTTTTAGAAATACATTTTCTATTAAAATCCTAAATAAGGCTCAAGTTTGTAGGTGTTGATTTTTACTTTGAGCAATTAAGGACTAGTTTGGGATTTTTAAATGTATTATGCTGCAGTTTATGAGCAAGAGGTGAGTATAACTTCATGGAGAGGAGGAATTATCTTTAAACACGCTTGGCCAGTGATGGGATGCCTCATAACATCATACCATACATTGTTATTTCATCAATCCCTACACTTGTTAATCTGTAGCAGTTAATTTGGTGCTTTCTGGAAAATGGATTTAGGAAAGTAAATTTAAAAAAAAAAAACACCTTAAGCCTAATACAGGTGGTGTACATTTTTCAAATTAGATAGGATATAACTTTACATTGTTGGATTAAAACACTGTGTTTTCTACTTTGTGTTCATCTCCAGGTATCTTCTGATAGCTAGTATCCATTACCTTTGGGCAAGTGTTATATTTTCTTCTTTGTTCTTGGTACACAATGAGGGTAGAAATGGGAGAGGGGTGAATATTAAGGGTCTATTTCCAGTATAGTAAATTCAAGAACAGGTGACTGGTAGACACTCACGTGGGGCTGACTTGTTGGCATTTGGAGAAATGAGTCCAGAGTTTAGAGGAAACATTGAAATGAACTGTTCTTCTTTTTTTTAAAAAAATGAATATGTTAAATTTGATTACAGTTAAGTCTTGAACCTGGGAGTCATTATACCTCCTTAAGGTACTGTTTGACTACTCTGCTGGAAAAGGGAATATATTCCCTGAGAGAAGGGGGCATTTTCAAACTTCAACATATATTCCGATTTCAGCCCAGGCAACATAGTGGTAACAAATCGCTGTAACTGATAGGGAAGTGCAGTAATTATCAATCTAAGCATTGCAATATAAGAAAGATTAAGAACCATTGTTATAAAAGGACTCGAGCATCATCTTTTGTTGATTTCCTTAATTCTGCAAGGCCAATATAGCCTTATTTCAAGGTCCTAGGGTATACTTCTCATGCTGACCAGGTACTACAAAAATTAGGCACAAGTGTTAATAGACGTGTAATAGATAAGTCCCAAATCACGAAGATGAGTGTTAAAATGAGTTTATATTAATTTGTCTTTTTGAGAATCATATATCTTATAGGTATATCCTTCCATATGTAGGGAGTCTATCTTAAAAGCATCAGAAATACCTTTAGTAACTAAACAAGGGCTCAAAAAGGATCCTTAAGGTGACTTATTTTGTATATGTGTATATATACATTTCCATTTATGAGTTTAAGAAGACAATTAGAAAGGGTTAGAGTATTTTTCCTCCCTGTGAATATTTCCAGAAAAATAACTGGAATAGGGATATTCAGTAGAACAAGCTATTAAGATAATCATGTACTTGGCTTAAGAATTGAAGTCTTTCCAAAGATTCAGGTGTTTATTTAGCCATTTAAGATGTATAGTATAGTATTAATACATTTTAATTTTGTTAAAACATAATACTTGGCATTTAAATATGAAATTTTAAAAGTCCAAAAGGGAAACATCTCCCTTTCGCCTCATCCCCCAGCCACACATAGCCTATCTCTAAAAGTGACATTTGTTCCCAGTTTCTTTCTTTGAGTATCCAAAGATATTCAGTGAATATACAAGCAGTTATTCATGTACGCATTTTGTTTTTAGGGTTTTTATTGTTAACTGATTTGAGAGGGGGCAGGGGAGAGGGAGACAGACAGATGTCAACTCGTTCTACCTATCTTTTCACTCACTGGTTGATTCTTGTATGTGCCCTG